TTAATACTAAATGTATTCGGTTCGTTGCCTTTTTAGATTGATTGCCTTTTCTTGTACCTAGCACTTGTATAAAGTGAATATAAAATATACTTTTTACGTCACCATCTGGGTAAACATTCACAAGGTTTTTTTATGACAATGGTGACATTCAAAAATATCTTGCACTCGGCACTAAGCCAGACATGAATCAGATCATTAAAAATGTTAACAATGCCCTTGTTTGAAGAAGTTTAAACTATACGCAATATTTCGTAGGTTTTTTAAGTTTATTCGAATTTTTGACATTTTAATATAGCATACATATACATTCTAAGGTACAGAATCACGGATTGTGTTTATTTTATTTTAGAACTTGACTCAATATAAGGTAATGTATTATTTGTAGTAACCTAAGCAAAACTATTATTTTTTATGAGCGTCAATAGACATAACATGAATAGTTCACAATTCAAATGTCTAGTTACGTTAATAAAAATTCTATTTCGAAAAATATGGAAAATCGAGACTGCACTATTTCAATGCCTTTGAACAGACAGACGTACATATTTATGTCAATTATTTACATCTCCCCTTGACCTATATGTCCCCGTTTATTTTTACAGACATTCATGAACGTGCTGGTTAATATTTGTGTGTATAAAGCGGTAGCCTTTTCCATATACAAGTTTACTTACGTGCGGGTACTGTAACCAGCATACTAAAAGTTATTATGACGAATCGTATTTAATATCGTGTATTTTGTTAAAACCACGCGTAACGATGTCGGCACTAGTTTCTTCAAAGAAACTATGTAGGCGTTTCTTCCTATATCAGACCTACTTTTGTAGTATATATGGTATGGTATGGTTTGTGGACTCAGTTTCCGCACTTAGACGCTCGATAGGTCCATTGTGTGTAAAGTCCTGGCTAAGTAAGTCAGCCTAACTCCTTCCAAAAGCACAGAAGCTTCCTGGGCACTTCGCAGGCTTCACGGAGCGACCTCACTGTTCCGAAGATTTCTGTACATTGTTTAGCCACAGCCTCGCATTCCAGGACTACGTGGGTGACTGATTTATCTGCGCTGAAACAGCCTCTGCACATGGGGCTGTCTGTCGCGCCTAGGATATACATGTGTTTATTAAGGAGACAATGGCCTATAATTATCCCTATCATTGTTTTGAGGTTAGTTCTGTTTAGGTTTAGAAGTTGCTTTGTCATTCTTGGGTTAGCCACTGGCAGAACCATTTTGGATTGCCTGCAGCCCACACTTAATGACCAACGTTGGTTGCTGGAGTCCCTCAGATCTCTGGCGAATTTTGTAGTATATATTTAAAAAATATTAATATTATGACAACCCCAGTATGTTTTAAATTCCAGAAATGTCACTGCACGATATTCAATGACTTCACATGAAATCGCAACCATCAGCAAATTTCTGTTGTTTATAAAAGATTAAAAGAGTTTATATCAGTAGTGCATTATAAAATAACCAACAAAGCTTTAGGAGCTTTCAGTTAATTGCTCTTATCTTAGCGTACGAGTGATAGTAATATAATACTCAATTCAAACCCATATACAGTTTTTGTAATTGAAATACATTTTACAATGGCTCAATTTGACGAGCCATTTTTGTGCAAATTTATAAAGTTTTTATTACAGAATATAAACACATATATATGTACGAACTGAATCCGTTTCCTTGTTGTCGTTAAAGGTAAGTGGTTTTTTAATATTATATATAATAATTAATAAAATATATGTTTCATTCCTTTTTTTACTATATGTACTAAACTTAATACTTTTCAGGCATGTGTTTGCCCGTGATTTGCGTAAAAAGTGTTTTCGGTGTAAGGTTATTTCTGACCTAATTAGATTAATAATGTAGTTTTTAAAATAAACATTTTATATTATAATAAACTCCTTTACGATATGCATTGGCGTATCGCATACTGCACCCACAGTTTACGATAACATAAAAGTTAAAACTGCCACAAACAGTTACTGCGGGTGTGATTTAAAATTTATAGCCGAGAATATTATGAACCTTGAACTTAGTGATAAATATAATAATTTATATTGCTGTGCCTGAATTTTTATGACTACAGTGTTCAAAAGAAATCAAATCAAAATATGATTAGTCAACTCAATACACAGTACTAACGTTAGTAAAAAAATTAAGCTTCTGAATTTACATTTACTGCCAGTTCTAAAATCAATGGCGTAGAACGGACGGGAAAATCTGGCAATAAACTCTCTGTCAATATTTTAAATCGTTTATTTTTTTAAATATTTGTGAACAAATGCATCCATTACATCATACTCATTAGATGTTTATTATTGTAATTAAATAAAAAAAAACAAAATGTGTTCATAATTTTTTAATAAAAAAATTAATACAAATAAAAGGTCAAAGACTAACCCCTTATTCATAACAAAAACACGGTCTAAGTGCACCTCTTTAACTAAAGTACTCATCTCTCACTTTCCAACACAGCTTAAACACAATTTGACAGAAGGATACGAAAGATTGCAATTACACTGATTTAGTTTTTATGAATAAGGAGTAAACCAAATAAACCGGACGTCTCTGAAAAAAAAACGTAGTTTGAATTTGCCAATGCATTCATTATATTATTAAATACAGAAAATTAAATCATATATATTATTAATATATAACGATTGAAGTATTAGATATTTAAGCCTCAAAAATTACTTGATATTTAGCTGACATTAAAGGCAGTTTGATTAATATAAACACACTAAAGATACTCCAATATATCACCATACTTACACTAATGCTACATAATATTATTAAGGTGGAGTAGGTGTGTATGTGACCTGCGACTTTCAACTTTCCTTAATATCCTAATCCCTTTAAATTCCATGCAGGACAACCTCTTTGGGGTCCCCTTTTTTTTTTTGAAGGGGTTGAGTAGGTCGCCAAACTCTTATATACAAAGTATGTAAAATTCAAAGTATTTATAAGTTACTTAACTAATGGTAGAAGTCTGATACAAGAGAGCTTAACGTATGTTACATTTCTTGAGTTCACGAGAGAAATGACGCGTGAAACTTAGTTGGAAATCTCGGAAAACTTTGCAGAATACAGGCGCCTCGTTTAAATAAATATAAACTTTTTGGGCGTTTATAAGCTATATTTGTAATAAGTAAAAAATTATCAAGAGTTAATTTAAACCGTTTCGTTTTAATGTACTGAATGAAAGAATGAATGAAAAAAAAAACTCAAGAATGGCTTATTTATGATCTTGAAATATTTGTGGAAGTTCAGGGAAGGTTTAAACGTTGGGAAACAGAAATGATAAGTAAAGAAAAATACTAAAAATAATAATTGTATTTTCCAATAAAAACTGTTCCTACTTGGGAAAGATTTGAGGTATTTTTAGAAATAATTTGTTTTCACATGGATGTCGTATATATTTTATTTTATAGATGCCTTCTTTCATAGCTGTAGTATGAGTTCCGATCACTTTGGTCTGTTTTAAAAGATTTGTATTAAGTTTTGACACAAATATTTGTAGGTTATACGAAGTTCATCAAGTCACCTAACATACTACAAAATAAATTTATTATATAAATTAGTATAATAGTCCTGTTTTAATGTTTATACGTGTAAATATCTTATTAAAATACTTAACGGCACTTAAGGTTTTTATTATAGCTGACTCGAGGATAACACATTGAATTAGTATTTCCTTAAATCCTTAATTTCATTATACACAGAAGGATACTTTAATCTCCAGAGTTGTGTAGGTCCTAAGTGCCCTTTATGTAAATACAGTAAGAACTAATGCTGCCCGCATTAAGTATTCGAATGAGGCTTTCACGGTACGTTAGTGTCCCCATGAGACGTGAACATATACGCCACGCTACATTGCTTACTAAATGATACGACCACAGTCTTTATTAGTTTTGTTGCTTTTTCTGATTTCTATACTCATTTTAGTTGCTGATAAATCACGTGTTTTGTTTCTGCATGTTAAACATTGACGGCTTTAATGGTTGCATTGAGCAAGTTATAGTGGATATATCTACCATTTAACAAAAGTTTTTAAACATTTTACGTTTCGCTAACGATAAATCATAAAAGATTGTAAAATTGCTTTTATATTTTATAAGTTTCAACAATTTAATACAGCCTTAAAGGTAGATTTTATAAAACTACAAACACGTGCTTAATTAGTATATTTACCAAAAATACTCTTATCATTACGTCACAAGTAAATTGCGTTTTAATTAACGACAACATATCTTTCAATTTATTATTGAATAATCAAAGTGACACAAATAAAATTATAATACCAAAATCTTTGATAGAAAGTTCATATGACACTAACTCCATTGGATTTGTAATAAGAAATTGGAAAACGTACAGGGAATATAATCCTCTATTAGAATATGAAATTCCAAGAAATCTGAATTTTTTTGATGTCTGGTCTTGTCTCGAGATTTTTCTAGATGTGATGCTATATAAAAGTTTTTAATAACTTTCTTAGTTATTAAATTACTTTCAATTATTTATTTGACTGCTTCTGTAACTAATTATTTTTTTAAATTATTATTATTAAATACATTTTTATATTTTTTAGTTCATTAAATAACATATTCATACTTTAATTTATACATAATCACAGTAAGTTCACCGTTTAATAAAGTTAAAAGTAATCGTTAACTATAATAATTTGTATACACAAAGTACGCAACTTTAGTAAATTCTTTAGTCACATGGAGATAATTAAAATATTTTCTGAAGTTCTAACAAAAGCCGAGAACTCTAAAGAGCTGCGATGTAATTAATTACGTTATGTCGCGGCCTTGACTTCTCATAGGGTGGAAGTGTAGTGAGAAAAAATACATATAATAAAAATACCATGTCTGTATAAATTTTGAAGGGGTCAGGTCAACTGACACTATGCAGCAATATCTGTGCATAGTCAAAGCTGATGAAGAGTCTGAAAGGGATCACTTCTTACTCTCGAACCTGTAACAACCCGGTACACCCGATGGCAGGGTTTAAGACGATTACATCAGCAGCGCAAGTCCTAGCTGTTCACATCCACGTCGTGCCTCCCAGGCAATGCTGCACCCACCGTTCTCAAGCGAGTATAAATTCTCGCGGTGCTGTAGCTGAAACAGCAGGGCAAAGGCGAATATCTGGCGCCGTAAAACCAGATCGAACAGGGAAAGGACAATACCCGAAATTTAAGGGCCAGGCACAGGGACTTAGGCGGCAACCCCGTCAAGTGTCTAGATTGCGATGGGCTAATCACCTATCCAGCCAAAACGCAACTGATTATAAAACATAAAGTACATAAAAAATATACCTAAGGAGGCTAAGGCCCACACGGGGCTGTATAGCCATTGATGATGATATAAATTATAAAGTTATTCAAAGAGATTTTCAAATTTTCCTATTACAATTATTACGAAGTTCTAATAACGTAGCGTATTATTTGAAGCATTATTTTTAACACTTGCTATGGCAATATTTTTTTATATCTATCGGAAAAACAGTAGTAAAAAAAAAATTATAAATTCTAATAAAGTATGAATGCAAGAAATTTTGCTGTACCAAAAACAAAGAGAAAGAAATTTACTTGGGTGTAAACATTTTAAAGATATAATTATATCATCAAGCATCACGTTATATTATCAAGTAGCAGCTTTATCTTAATTTCCTAGGGCCTAGGAAATCTCAAGCACTGAAATGGTTCTGTCATCGCGATCTGATCTGGGCTTTGCATCACGCTTGGTCGCTAACTTTTTTGTTGGCATTATCTATCTCTAGAACTCAATCTTATATTTTTTAATAATTGTTAAGGATTTTAGGTTAATAGTCTGCGACACTATCACATAATTGGTAGAATATTTTTGTTAAATTCGGTTCAAGAGAGCTAAAAACTACTCGCACAACACCAATATCTTTACCTCTTTATACTATTAGTACAGATTAACCGTTTCAGTCTTCAAAAAGCTATCATCGAAAAATATAACCATATTGTAGTTCAGTGTATCTCCACCTTTAATTATAACACAAATAAGACTCAGTACACAAGACCGCATACGAATGTTACTTGTAAGTTATACTTTAACTGGGAAACTTCACTTTGTTATTGTGATGAGGAAATAACTTCCTATAAAGTTTGCGGTCAGAACAATTCTCTATTTATGAGTGCATAATTTATGTAGTAGCAGTCGCTGTGCCGAATTTAAAGTTATTAGGAGGTATACTAATGGAAAGTTTGAAATTGGAACTGGGTTTTACATTTAAGATACCATTCGTATTTTGTACAGAAAGAGTTTATCTTTCTATCCAATCGAGTTAAATCAACGCCACCTTAGCTATTTGAATTTTTATTATATATATAGTGCTCTTGAATATATGTATAATATAATCCATAAAGTAAAATTCCAAATTTCTTCGAAAATAAATAGTTTATATATTTATTTTCTAATATTAGGTTTATGTCAATAATTTGTATTTCCGATTACTACATGGGGCAAATACTTTGATATTGTATGTGTAAAGTTTTTTTTTAAAAGCATGCAAAAATATTTAATAAGTTTTACGCGATAACTGGATTAAAAAGTTTGATTTCTTCTTTATTTTATTCATATATTTATTATAGGCATCTGTGAAGATGAACACAATTCTTGGATATCATAAATTTGTACCATAAAATAATAATAAAAGAAAATATAACTGTTTCATATTTTGTTTACATCTCTACATAAACGTCCAAGACAACATTCAAAGTTAAATCTAAAATAATTTTTAAACTTTTAAAAATCTCATCAACGTAATTTACTCACGTATTTCAACTTCATCATTGTAATGAAAAATAAAAATTTTCACGCATTTTCATAAAGTTACAAATGAGAAAAGTTTGGTCGCGCTGTTAATTTTTGTCAACATAAATTATTCACGTACGCTCAGGTCAATGGATGTTTTGAGAGTGTAAAATTTATCTTATACTACCTAAATTTATGCATATTCATCAAAGGATTTAGTAATTATTATGTACTAAGGGATATGTATGGGGTATTTTAATGGGGATTGATATATTGTAATATAATAAAAAATTGTGCGTGTACTAGGTGTACACACGTAAGAAGTGAAACTTCTTTATGATCTTATTTTTCGAAAAATGATCTACTATATGCAACTTTACAGAAATTCGTTAAATTAGATAAAGTTTAACAAAAGGCTTTTATTATCATAGACATGAATACAAATATTTCATTTTACCTTATTACTACGAAGATTATTATAGAATTTCATTAATTGTAATATAATTATTACTATCATTGAAAAACGTGACGAATTGCTACAAAATTTCTCCCATACGTCGATAGAAGTTTCATTCCAAGTAAAGAAGTTGACTTCAAAAAGCAACATGGCGCGTAACCGAAAAATGTGACGCGTAACGAAAAAATGTTACACTAAATTTTTTTCCAACCTCGATAAAGAAGTTTCACTTCAATTATTATTATACTAGATTCGTGTTAGCCTTGAGCATTTTTAACACAGATACATGAATTTAGGGTCACATTTAGTTCTTTAATTCAAGTGTGGAAATTTAGAGTATTGATTATGGATAAGAAATATTTTTTAATAAACTTATTAAAAAATACTTTAATAATACCAGATTCGATAATATATTTAAAAGAATTAGTAATGTGAAAATGTATAGTCGGAAGAATATCGTCAGCAAAATTTCGGCTAACATTTCTAGAGCAGAAGTAGACGTAATTGAAATATTTTACATAAATATTTTAGTATACTTCGCGAGGTTCAATTCAAAAATAAGTAAGATAAGGAGAACCTTAGTTACAATCCTGGTTTTATGGATCTTTAACCGTTTATAGCGGGCCTACAGTTTGCAACCAACGATTCAGAATTCGAATCTACTTACAACTACGATACGATTTTTAAATTATGGCCTGCTATACGATATCCATATTTCGATATCCAGATTATCCAAAGTTAAAGAATCTATGAAATAACAATAATAATAATAAAAACTTTATTTATGACAAAAGGGTTGGTGACAGAATTCATATATCGCTAGTCCCCACACTAGGGAGGCCCTGTGTTGTGGGTAACTAGAAAACAATTACGTGGTACATGTTTAAATTAGTTACAAAAAAAGATGATAATAACAAAATAATAATAATAATAGTTATAAATTATAATAATTTATTTATGGTGTTCATTTGATTATAATAAACTTTATCCTCGTTACGTGTATTTAATGTTAACTATCTCAGATATTAAGGAATTTGTTTTACGCTCCGAAAATCGTAGTTAAACGGATTTCGTCTCGAACAAATGTCACCCGGCTATCGCCACGCTAGGAGAAGTGAATTCACAATTACATTCGAAAATTCACGTTAGAATTGTGTATATTGAGATGGCATGTTCTTGTAAACATTATCATTTATTTGCAAAGATACTGAATTGTTATAATTATAATCGACGGTAACCAATCATATCGGAAACGTGTCGTGTCCATTAAACGGCAAAGTTATGCAATCAAGACGCAGGTTTAGAGGGAAGGAGGACTTTATAGGTGATAAAACTTTGAAAACCCTCGCTCCATCAAAGTAAAATATACTTCTCCTAATAGATTTTTGTTGATGTTAGAGATTTATAACTGATTTACATAAAGACGATTTGATCAATTTCACATTCTATAAAAAATACGTACAAAACTGGCGCTACAAAATTTAAGGTTTCAGGCCTCAGACTTCTGTATTCGTGATCATTAGCTTTCCCTTATAGGCAAATAGAAAATCGCTGCAAGGAACGCATTTGAGTTTATGTCCCGTCCTAGAAGCAACGCACTAAAAGAAAAGTCTAATAAGCAACTAAAACCTACCAACAACCGGAAAAACGACAATACAAACAACGTACAAAAACTAAACCGAATAAAAACTCCCCCAAGCCGGCTGGGGTAAGAGACCATAACCCTCTAGATAAAATAAAAACAAAAAATGAAATTCTAAAAATTGGTACATTAAAAAAAAGAAAAGAATGGAGTGAACTAGAGGAGGCCTTTACCCTTTTTTTTATATAATAGGGGGGCAAACTAGCTTGCGGGACGACCAATAAGGGCAGTCTCCGCAGCCCATAGACACCCACTTTTAGTGGGTGCGTTGCCGGCCTTTGAGGGAGGGTAGCCCTACATGGGATTCCAATAACATAGTTTTAGATGAATAGTTATCAGATAAAAATGTTACTTAAGGTTGTTGGAAATAAATGGGCTTTATTATTATTATTATTATTATACGCAAATAGGTGATCAGCCTTCTGTACCTGAATGACTCACCCGTGCCGTACAACCCGTTGACTCATTTGACTCATGCGTGCCGGTGTCTTCACGATGTTTTCTTTCACCGTATGAGCGAGTGATAAATGGGCACATAGACAGAAAGTGCATTAGGGCACAGCCGGGGTTCAAACCTACCTTAGGCAGAAGAGTCGCACGCTGAAGCCACTAGACAAACACTGCTTTTCAATTACATTCTATAGATGACGTATAATTGATGTTTCGGCTTAACGCACTGACCATAGAATAGGTAAATGAGGTGGCAAGGCACTTTGGTTGAGTTAGGTTTTATTGTTGAATTCCACAATTCAGTTATAGGTAAATCAATATTTAATGACTTTATTATCATTTATTATCATGTGTATTACAAATTAATTACAACCCTGGTATAACATTAAAAATGATCTATATTTTCATTAAAACACATTTCTTCAAACCCTTATTTTTCATTCTTATTTAAGTAGATCAGAGCAATCGCCTCGCAATTACACTTATTTAGTGTCGGGTCGAAGTAAAGACAAAATACAAGATAGATATTAATAAACATAACAGAAAAGCAGACCCTCAAAACCTTATTTTTAAACTACCCTCATGTCTAAATCAAAATAGGGTAGTTTAAATTTATATCTTTATTTAATCCCCTACTATGTTTTGCATCTTAGTTAAGATTACATAAGGATGTATTAATAATACCTTTTTACTTGGTTAAACAGAAACCGATTTTCTGTAATGGTGTCGTCCAATTGTCAAACAGAACCATTGGGGTAATTTGCTATAACGATCCAATTTGCGTAAAATATCCTAGAATCGCCTGTTTTTTCAAATTGTGTTTAAGTTTTTTAAGTATTGCTTTGGAGACGCAAAAAAGAAGCAATTATGTCTGTTAAGGCTTTTTGTTGGTTTAAAAGCATATCTTGTTTTGTTGAGTCACTGTATAAAAATAGGAACTTTGGAGACAGTCGCATTAATTGTAC